AACCAAAATTTCATATTTTCAAATTTCATGACTAATTTTTTCTTATTAAAAATTAAAGTGCGCACCAGAGTTTTAGTTATTCTACCTGTGGGCCCTGAAGTTAAAAAAAAATAAAGGTTGAGAAACATGGTGTAAAAATGTTTGTAAGGAGTTATAACTATGAGTAAATAATTATAAACACATAACATTTATATATACAAAAATACTCGTAAAAATGATAAATAGCAAGACGTGGAAGAGACAAAACGGATATTATTTATTATCTGGTTGAATAGTGCTGTTGAAAAAACGAAAGAGAGTAATACTGAGTAAAATTGTGAGTTTGGGGTCAAGCGGAGATCGGAATCCGACGAACGTATAAAATAAAGAATAAGCAAAATGTATACAGTCTTTCTCACATGTTTTTATAGATGTGTGTAATGAATGTCCAGTTAATTTAGGTGGAAAAATACAAGTGTCTAAAGTTTCCTTACTTCGAATTTTTGTTGAGTGCCAAAAGATAAATGTTACTATTATGACTTGAAAAAGAAAAAGGAAGTGAAAATTTCGCTGACACACGTTTTAATGACTTGTCCGTGTGAACTGCTTGTCAAATGTCACATGTTTGTGTGTAGAGGAGAAAAGTGGGGGCGATTCTCATTGATTTAGAATGAGCGAATTAATGATAATTATAATTGTTATAATTATTTTATTATAATTATTTTTGACACAATAATTAATTTTTAATTATTTTTTATGGACACGATAAGCTTTTCGAAAGAATGGATTGATATTTTGGCAAATTCAATTTTCATCTCAATCTTGGTAAGTTTCTAGGTACCTACTGTTCTAAAGTGTAGAGGACCGGGTGTGTTTGCATGTTGTTGTATTAGAAACACGTATCTAACTCCTGGTAGAATATTAAAAGGTCCAACTAAAAGAAAATTGTTGGACAAGTTAAGTCCAACTGAAGATGTAAAGAAAACAAACAAGACACACACACACACATATATATATATATATAAACAAATATATGTATTAAACAAAACAATTTTACAATGGACATAGACAATAATGTGTGTGTGTGTGTGTGTGTGAACGTTTATACCTGTTCTTTGGTGAATGTTCGTATTTTGGTGAATGTTTAGACGTTATCTTTTTGTGAGAGCTTACATTGTAGATGCTGAAAGGAAGAAATGAAAAAGAAGAGAACGAGGCGAGAAGTTGCCCAGTATTTACAGAATGACCCCTAGTGACAATTAGGGAATTAAGGAGGAGGTAACTTCGACAAAAGCATCTCAAAAATTAATGTGTAGTAATTTTCAACATTTAATAATTAAAATAACCAGCATGTAAAGATGCCAAGTCATTTAAAAAAGCAATCCAAAACAGAGTCAAAATATAGAACACCCTAGAAAAAAGCAGATATCAAAAATCAAATTCGAAATAAGATTGAAAATTTACAGACATAGTAGAAAATACATCACGAGGTATGAAAAATAAGTTTTAGCCAATTGCTGTTGGCTTCAGAAAATAAAAAGAAAACGTTCGAGTTTGTCGCCCATGAAAGCATATAAATAAAAGGCCTTACAAAAGATTGTGGTCAGTCAAATAAAAAATGGCAGCTTGTCTACACAATTCTACGTGAAACGACTCCCTTTACCCACAAAGCAAAGTGGCCAGAGATCAAAAGACTAACCAAGAACTGAAACTGTTTGTTAGCTTCTATAAGTCAATATGCTTCTACTTCCTTTTCTACTGCAAATTGAGAGTGATGACATTTACTAAAAATGTATGAACTTTCTCTGTATCAGACACATTCCTACGAACAATTCAAATAAGACAGAAAATAAGGCATAAAAAGATACATCCACCAACTTACACACACCTTTACATACAAAAACATTGTTGTAAAATGTCAATAAACTGCAGCTTTAAATTTTACTACAGATATGAGCAATATATTTACTATATTAACAACTAGCTTAAAAGTCGTACTCTGTGCAGACTTTTAAACTAGATCCTGAGGAAAGCTAATTCGGACTTCAACCCCAAACTAAAGGAACCAGCTGAGAAAACAGCAATGATAATTTTGAAGAAATAACTTTGAAATTCTCAATTCATTCCATGGAACTTCAAAACCTCAATTTAAGGCTTCAGGCTACAAGACCAATTTCGGCCAAAAGACCGATTTCGGCCGAAATTCCAATTCAAGCCGAAAATTGAGTTCTTCAAATCACAAATTCCGTGGAACTTCAAAATTTCAAATCACGAAACCTCTCACTTTAACTCTTTGAATTTTTGAAGAAACAAAACTGATTTCCTCAATTCACAAGGTTTTGGAGATATTTTAAACTGAATTTAAAACATTTTTTTAATTCATAAAGTTCTTGTGTTACTTTAAACTCAGTATAAATTAAAAGCTTTTAAATCACTAATTTTTTTTCAGCTATTTTAAAATTTGAATTTTTGACTGTTCCCTCCGTATCCAGACACAAATCCCAATGCTGAATGTTCAAGCACCAGATGAAGAGCAGATTTTCAGTCTCGGAATTATCCTGATTCCAAAAAGATATAATATGTCTATGTAGAGAAATTGTGGCTCGAATTAGAGGAGGGGGGGCAGACATACTGACGGACAGACAGAATTTGCCGTTTATTTATTTAGAAGATGATACTTAGATTATTATGCTTCTTCACTTTGGGTATAATTTTTTACATTATGCAGTGTGCTCTTTTTTATTCTCTTATTTCCACGACCAATAGACTAGTGGATTAAAGTGTTAGTTAGTGAATTTGGTTACATAGAAATTGTAAGTTCAATCTCTGGGACGAGCAGTACAAACTTGGACTAAGTCAGTGGTCCCCAAACTTTTTTTTCTCTTGGCCGCATTTTCGGAATGAAAATTTGCTCGCGCCTCACCAAATTTTATATGATAAAAAATACGTTTAAAAAAAAAAAAAATAGGTTAAACGGAGATACCCCCGAACTCGAGGTCAGAACATTATCATTCATAACCCTCTCCTCCAATTTACGAACTCTAGTTACTATATTCTTAATACTTGATATAATACAAAAATATCACAATGATAAAATCGGTCAATAATTATTTATAACTATTTATACTGGGATTCATACATGCAATTACAAGTCATCCATAATAATATTTTAAATTTTGAAATCATATTTATTTTTGGCATATGAATTTTTTTAAACTTTTTCAAAATCTTTGATTGTCTTTCAATCATTCTGCCTCACCTGCTATCTTCTTCCAACCCACCTATGAGGCGCGTCCACCGTTTGGGGAAAAAATGGACTAAGTGGAAACGGGACGAGTAGTAACTGAGCACTACTAAATAAGAACTAAATAGATTATCTCTAGACATGGTCAACAGAATGAAAATAATCTATTCCCGTAGATTAAATAAAATTTCAGTTAGAAATTTCTTACCCGCTTACCCGGATCGACAAGATTCTGATGAAGAACAGAGGGCACAACACTCGAAACATTGTGATAATAATAACAAAGATGAGAACAATAGTCCGCGTGCAAATAACGTTTTACTAAAGCTGAATAAAATAAGTCTCATTAAATTAAATCTGGAATAATTAATCGATAAAATTAACGAAAATAATCTAAAAGTCGGATACTTTTGAGTACAATTCTCTCTCTCTCTCTCTCTCTCTCTATATATATATATATATATATATATATATATATATATATATATTGACAGTTCAAATCTTATATATTTACTTTCCTGCTGCAAATGCAAATGCAAATGCAAATGCAAAAAAAAGAATTATGTTGTCGCATCTGATAGGGTAATTTAATTTATTGCCCTTCTTATCCTCAAAAATCCCAACGCATTTTGTTCACACACAGTTTTGCGTTTAATTCTAACCCGAAGAAGCCCATCCTAACATACGTTCGCGAAATGCGACGTTAAAAAACTTTTCCACTTTGTCCCATTATCTTCACGCGCGTGCGCGCGCACACACACACACACACACATACATACATATATGTATGTATAGTTTTAAATAGTATTATTGATAAGTGACATGCCAGTTGTGGGCCATGAATCTAGAAATAAGTAAATATTAAGCCATATAAATATCAAATCAATCAATTTGTTACGGAAACAGAGCTAATAAATAAAATGGAGACAAGTTCGAACTTGTACCTCATAAAGGATTTGCAATTTGTTTGTTATTCCCCAGAACGAGTAACGTCCTGTCTGGAAAGTATCCGGCTATTTTAAATATCTCGAGAACTAGTTGCGCGGTGTTGTAATTTGGAAGCCAATCAGAGTCCACTTTACCGCGCATGCGTGCACAGACGCTCTCCCGTGGGGTGACAACAATAAGTGAGCTTCTGTATTGTGCAACCATTGTATTCATTACGACAATCGTGACGTATTATGTGAGTATTTTCTTATAGTAAAAGTCATAATACCCAGGTATCTCATCCTTTTCCAGATGTCCCGGAAGCTTTCGACTTTTCCCAAAGCTAAAATTACCGTTGAAAAAAGACATTTCATTTCGTGTGCGAGATTAAGTAGAATGCAACAAAGTCGCTGATGGCTATCTATACAGAGTATTTCGTTTTGAAAAGTCGAAGGCGTGCTAACTGTGTGAGTTCCCATAAAAAAACAGCTTTTTCCAAAAAAAATGGTGACTACTTCCATGGAAAATGTTTTGACCAGCTACATTCTTTAGTTCCACCAGTTCAGACCTTTACGGCTAAGACCCGCCATGCCATATACACAGAGATGAACCATCCTCATTCCTTTCATATTCCATTGGTAAGGAGGAAGTTCCGTTCTGACAGCTTCTTTCTAAGAGCCACTGCTTTGTGAAACAGACTCCCACATGGATGCTTTCTTGTTATATATCCTCCTTATCATCATAATCTTCATTTTCTTCGAGCTCCCTTCTCATTCCTTATTACCATTTGACGCTAAAGCCTGGTATTGGGCGAATATTAGTATAAAAATATTGAAGAGGACATAGGCGCTACTGTCAGACGAACACCGGTTTCCGTACGATCACCGAAGTTAAGCAATGCCGAGCCTGGTCAGTCCGTAGATGAGTGACCGCTTGGAAATACCAGATGCTTAGATGCGTGGGTGGTATAATGCCTCAGAATTGTTAATCGCAGAGCCGAGTTCGAATTCCCGTTGGGCTCGTTATATTCGCTTACGCGCAAATATCTTTGGACAAGGTATGAATACACCTTTTCGTTCCCCAGTAATGGGTTAATTAGTAAGACTTGTATAACTAAAAAATTATTATCTAAAAAAAAATTCTCACAATCTAAAAATATTTTCTGGCTTTAAATAACCTGCAATGGGTTGATAAGCCGTAGGAAACGAATCGGTCAATCAAAAGCATGTAGCTTTTTTTTTAAAATATATTCTCACAAAAAGATGTTAATAATATAAGAAATACTTCACAAAGGTTTTATTTTCAGAACAGGTAAATTTCAGATCTCTTTTCCTTTTTTTTAATTATTCCATTCATCAATTCTTAATTATACCTCATAGGTTTTAGATAGTTTTATATGTGGAGAAAGTGTACAGGTCTCAGTCTAGAAAAATGTGTCATTAAAATAAAAAAAGAAAGAAATGTTTACAATAAGATAATAGAAATCATTCTATGAGAGGATCAGATAAAACATATAGAATCAGAAATCTTTAAAATTTAACATCTGAACCAGACACCTACCCCCACATACACACACAAACACTTTTTAACATCTGATTTCGCTACCACTACCTTTATATTTTATTATTTAGATTTTGTGGTACCGTATCTGTCAAAGAATTCGGAAAATAATGTCCAATTTTAGAATCAACTTTTATTCCTGAATTAATGTGTTTAAACAGTGTTTAAATCAGTCAAAATAAGAACCCTGAACATCTATAAATTTATGCCATCGAGTTACAAGGTTATTTATACCTTTACGATAGAATTTAAAAGGTTTGGACGCCAAGAAATCTTTGAATGCAGATTCTGTGTCTTCTTTACAACAGAATGATAATAATGATAAATAGTCAAAAAAGTGCTAGTCAATGGGCGAGAGATCAGGGGAATATGGTGGATGTGGCAAAGTATCGTATCCCAAGTCGGTGAGCTTCTGCAAGTGTCATCCTGTGGCCAAGCATTGTCATGAAGCAGAATTGAACCTTTTCGATTAATCAGTGCCGGACGCATTTGGTTTAACTGGGTGTGCATTTCGGCAGTGAGGCTTTGATTCGATTCCAAAAAGCTGTTATGGATAAAACCAATGGCCGACCATCATAATCTTGTTTTGGTACAATTTTGGAAAGTGTTTGGGTCCTTCGTTGTGATCAAGCCATTAAGGCGATCATTTACAATTTTCAGAAAGAATCCATTTCTCAACACATGTCACTGTTCGAACAAGAAATGGAACATTCAAATTTTGCAGATCCAGCATCGAACACACGTCAGAACATCGAACACTTTAACTTTATGAGTTTATGTGGAACACATTGAAAGAGTGGCTTCATCTTGCCAGTTTTCTTGAGATGGTTTGATATTGTTGAAATGCTGTTATCCGAGACATTTCTCTGACACATTCACGTAGGTTTCGTTTGACTCGTGTTTTCAGATGTTGATTATCAATTGCAAAACGATGTTTTTTACCACCTTGATCTTCAAGACTTTTATCCCCACTGCGGAACTTAAAAAAAAAACAAAAAAAAAGTGCAATTCTATCCGATCATAAGTGTATCCTCCACCCCACATATTCTGTGAAAGCTGGCAGCAGTTTGAAAATTAATATAACCAAGCTTGAATTCATGCAAAAAAGTAAACGTATTTCTTATTTTTTCATACTCAAGATGAGATATTCTAATTTAAATTCTAAAAGAGATTTGTAGCGGACAGTTGGTTTACGTGTTGTTAAATTAGGAACACGTGAGTTTATTCCTGCTAGAAGAAGGTCCAACTATAAGCATATGGCGGACTCAGAGATTGAATCCAGCATAAAGAAGTGTAAAGAAAACCAACAAGACCGATATGTATATACCACAAGTATATGTATTAAACAATAAAATTTACAATAGACATAGACATTAACATTTGTGTTTGTGTGTGAACGTAAAGAGTTTGTATTTTGGTGAATGTTCGTACGTACGTGTATGTGTGTTTCATGGCGTTTTCCCACAAGTGGACAAAACGCAGATCTCTGCGAGACATCACATTTTGTAAATGTGCCCGCTGAAATGCAAAGTAAAAAGAGAACGAGGCAAGAAATCGCCCAGTATTTATAGTGTAGGGAGAGCGTGCCCTAGTGAACAATTAGGAAATTATGGAGGAGTTAACTCCGACAGATTTATATAAAATTAACAAAGATGACACTTTAGTTATTAGAAATGAGTAATATATTTTTGTGCAACTATAATAATAATATATTAGAACACAATTAAATGGTTTATTCTAAACTCGGACATTATTTCCCGAACAACCTAATATATTATGTCTCTCTTATTTTCTTAAACTTCACCGTGAAGAATCAATCCACAGTCTCACTACACTAGGTGTTGCTAATACGTTTTCCGTAACAACTAGGTTTTAAGGGGGTGGAATTCCCAGCCCCACATTCCCAACCGGTTTTGAATTCAAAATTGTCCTTCAACTAGACTGGTTGCCATCTTAAGGATAAAAAGCCTAGCTTGTTTTTCTATTTAACCCATAGTAGCGGGAGAAGAGATGGATTTATACCTTTACAAATGGTATTTGTGCGATAGTAAACACAACGAACTTGGCCGGAATTTGAATTCGGGTGCAAAACTTTAGACTATCTTAAATTGATAATATCTACATCAAATTTAGTTGCTTACTTTCATCAACCTGTTTTTTTTCTTTTAATGAATTGCACTTGACCAGTTTAATTAGTTGCAATAAACTAACAATAGATACACCCACGTTGATACAAGATGGAAACGAACTTGCAATATTTTACTAGACACTCATAGCAACCGTTGCTAGGTTCTTCTGTAGGTGATAAACTCCAGCAAAAAAAGACACCCCCAAATAAATAAATGGAAAATTACGTAATCGTAATCATGAAATATGGACATATCAAAGTATCCCCTCACATACACGCCCCGACTCTGATGGGGAGACATTGACCTGTTAAATGCACGCATGACGCAAACACAGGCGATGTGACGCACACACTGTCATGTCAACAGATACGCTCCAGGTTTGTTACAGCTGAATTGCGGAAGTAGTGAGATGAAAAGTAATGATTTAATGATTAAAATAATTTGCGTTGTGGTGTAATGGTTATCGGGTTCAGAATGAGAATATCGGAGAACTAGGTTCGAATTCCAGTCGAATGCGTTACATTCACTTACTCGCAAATACCTCTTGGAAAGATATGAATCCATCTCTTCTCTCTTTAATTATTGGTTGGATAGCAGGATAGTTCTATAGTATTGGTTGGCAACCAATCTACCGCAGAAAGAAATGGCTACCTACGGCGGGAAAATCTTCTGCCTAGTCAGTCATGGATTGAAAGAGATTTAAAATAACTCGGTAATGTTTTTTTTCACATTGATGTGAAGTGATGCATTTTAAAGTAGTGTACAGTAGACGTTTTTAATGATTTCAGTGCACACACACACACACACACATACATATACATGCATGTACACACATACACACACACACACACACACACACACATATATATATATATATATATATATATAATTATTTATTTAAAAATATGATTCCAAATCGCTCTACTTTTGTATCGAGCACTATTTTTTTAAAATAATACCTAAAATACTAAGGGACTTTGGATTAATTACCTAACCAGTTCCTTCCTATTTTCTATATATTTTCACATATATATATAAGACACAGAGTGTGTTGAAACAAAATGGCTATTTTTGTAGTGATTTTATAACATACTTATGTTATAATTTTTTTATAAATAATAATTATATATATATATATAAGCCTCTGTCTGTCTGTTATCGAACTGCTCCTAGGGTTTTGGAGATAGACCCCATTACTATATATATTCTAAACCTACATTACCCAGGGAACTTGGATAAGTATAATTCATTTTGATTAAAGAGGGTCCCTTTTCACCACCACCCACTGATTTTTTACCCTTTGATATAAATTAAATTTTAATTTGAACAAGGAAATGACTCCTATCCAAAATATAGGAGGAGAAAGCCAGAAGATGGCGGTAACATCGGCAAAATCATTTTAATCAAAGTGGGTCCCCGGGGGCACAAACTCCTCACTGGATTTTTTCCCTTTGATTTAAATTAAATTTTAATTTGAACAAAGGAATGGCTCCAACAATACTTGGATAAGTATTTTTCATTTTGATCAAAGAGAGTCCCCTGTGGGAACAAACAGTCCACTGATTTTTTTCCCCTTTGATTTAAATTAAATTTAAATTTGAACAAGGGAATGGCTCATATGCAACATATAGAAGGAGAAAGTCAGAAGATGGAGGCCACATCGGCAAGATCAAAATGAGACAAATATGGACGTCAAATTGAGTAAGAAATCACCAATTAGTGACTAGTGCTTTACAATAGATATTTGTTGCGACAATCCAACATATCGGTGTTGAAATCTGCTCATCAATTCATTCAATCAAGTATTGCATCAAATACATATCAAAGGAGTCAGATAAAGCTGTTTCTTTTACACAAACCCAGAAATTTGTTTTCCCTTTGTTTTAAATTAAATTGAAATTTGAATAAGGGAATGACTTATCCAAAATATAGAAGGAGAAAGCCAGAAGATGGAGGTCACATTGGCAAGATCATTGAGTAATATTGAAATGCATCATTTTTCTCCACAAATGATTTAAAATCAATCATCATTTTCTTACAAAAAATGTGTGACATCCATCAAGGCGCGGGTAATTCGGCTAGTATTTAATAAAAGGAAAACGGGAAGAAAGGACCAAACATCAATTTTAAGAAGAAACAAATTATGGGCAATGACAACAAGGACATCCAAAAGGCGCAACCTACGAATTGTAGAATTGAGCAAAATATTAAGAAACAGGAAAATTCCGTTAGAAACAAGGAACAGAATGCCGGACCACCAT